ACCCACTATCCGCCCCCTCCCCCTTCGCACACAGACCCCCATGGCATTTCAGGCCCACGCTACCCATAAACAAACCGTGACTTACCCCTTCACACGCCAGTGGTCTAGCTGCCCATGTTGTCTATACTGTTGAGTGTAACTTTCTTACTATCTGCCTTCCATTTATTTTGGCTGAGGACGGGTGAGTCGAAAATTGACAAGTAAATCTCGATTTTTCCGAAGGAACTCTTCCATTCTTGACGGTACAGTATGTTTGAAGTTAGCTCCTAAAACGATTCTGAGAAGAGGGAACTGAAAATGCCTATCCAGGTCAGATTCGATCATGCAAAAACTAATACTACTTTCGAAGAGGACTGTAAACTGTCAAGGATTGCGTAAAGTAGGAAGAAGGGCCAGTCCTAACAATACCACGGAAACTCGATGTCTATTGAGTCCGTTTCTAGGCCAGTAGCCTATCTATGGTGCATGAGTTCCACCTACGGCAACAGAATCAGCTGTTGAGTTCAACAATTTTACGAGGCCAGTCTCGAAAATCGGTAAGCCAGGAAGCTTTCGGTAACGTGGCGAATTAGATAGCCGCCACAATATTGAATTAAGTTCCTGACAGGGACTTACGTTAGATGAGTCTTCGCTCCAATTGCAGGCATGCTCATCACCCGAGTTTTGAGGCGTTGCGACAGAGCGGAGATAGTGACGCAAAACGGGCAGGTAGAGCCAGTCATCGGGAAGAAGGGGATCGCAGATCGATGCGGCGTGGACAGTTGAGGCTCGAGAAGACTGGAGGGAAGAACAGAGGGGTGCTGCTGCTTCCGACTCCTTCTTGTCCTCTTCCTCCGCCTCCTCTTCTATGGCATAATCAAGAGCTACGACCGCGGTGGGTGGAGGAAGAACAGGTTGTGAGTCACTTTTCTTGACATTTGCTGGTTATAGAAATCAATGTTGCAAAGAAGACAAGGACGCGCAATCACTGAGAAAGCACTTGTAGTAGGCTGAGCTTTCGGACTAGCTACAAGTCCTGCATGCAACTTTCATGACAAAATTCAACTTGGTAGTTTACCATGTATTTGGGCAGGTTATTTTGCTCAGCTGAGTGGATTTAATAATTAGGCGGGCGTTAGTTTGGAAAACTGCCCTCTTAGTTAAAGGTTGGGAGCGAAAGAGGCACTAATTTTGGCTAAATCATGAGTACGTTTATATTGAAGGAATTTCCTATGCTATAAGGCACAACAGAACCAAACTTTTTATTAACACGCATTGTGCTATGGAAGAATTCCAGAATAAGTAAAAATAGGTGGAAAAATTATCTCTTCCAGAACTGGAAAATTTTATCCGAACTTGCGCAAATGGAAGTGAAGCCAAGTTTGAGGAATCACATTTATTTTCAGAAACAAGGAACAATTTAATTTTCAAAAATTATGTTTTCTCTGCATTTTTTTATTGCACGGCTTACCTTGGCGTATAAGAAAAGCGTATGCATATGTATATCTTATGAATATCTTATATCTTTATGAATATCCACATGAAGATACTGAAAACAATGAAAATTATTCCACACTATATTGGACGACATTCAATAAATAGTTATCCACTAATGGTAAAATGTACAAAATATTTTGATTTAAAAAAATTATTTTTATATAAAGAAAATGGTCACATTCCGTTTTCAAGTTACGAAAAGATTTCAATTTATTGTTCTAATTTATGGCTATTTTTTGTGTCTCAGGAACTTGGGCATTATCGGGAAAATTTGATTTTTCTTAATAAACACTTAGTACTTCTTATAGTTCTGTTAAGCACTTAATATGTCTAATGCTGTTCATTATTATTTCTAAGTTTTCGTAAATGCGTTCACGCCGGTATGTGGGTAATGATCAAACTTTTACAAACTTAGGCATGTTGTATGCAGCACTCAAAATATTTCTCATCGTGCATAGCCCAATAACTTCGCGCTGCCTCTTTCTCCCTATGTGAACCGCAACGATCGCGTCGGCAGTCGCCTCTATCGCACCTGTGGCCCTAGGCTACGCGGCATTGCAACGTTCTTCCGCATACTGACCTAAAAGCAGACTGCTAACGACCGTGGCGAGGTTATCTGTTTTCGTCACAGCAGGGGCGCATCATGGTCGCATCTCCGGCTCTTCGGGATGTTCTCGTGACTCTGTGGTCTCCTCCTCGTGTGACCCTACGGATAAAAGTGTTAAATTTGATGGACTGCCCCTGGTTTGCCGCAAAAACATTCTCAGCAACACACCGGTCCTATCTTGCACATACTGTCCTCTCGCGAGCGACATTTTTTCTCCTAAAATTCACACAAATGATATTCCATTTTTTTTGAATTCTGGGCCATGCCTTGGAAGTTTTTTCTCACGGTTTGTTCTTTTTGCTCAGTTGCACCTGCTGGCTCGTGTTAACTGACTCCATCACATGTGATTGTAGTACTTGGAACAAGTGAGTAGTCGCCTACAATTATGTAAACAACCGCTTTTGAAATGCTCTGCCTAGGTGTCAGACCCTAACTCCATAGACATGCACGTGTATATACCACCCTATTATTTTGCACTCAGATCGCGCAACCAAGAAGCACGGCCCAGCTCGTGTCCAGGGGCAAACGCCGCGACGCCAAGGACGCACACCGAGATGATATGGGAGACAAGGTGAGCGTGGACTCAACCAATCACGGAGACCACCCTCGCCATTGTCTCGTAGCCGGACT